CTTTAAGAAAATATCTTACCTGGGTTATGGCTTAGTGGTCAAACATTTGTCTAGCATGAGTAATGGTTCTCCAAGATTTGATTGCCAGTGTTGTAAAACATAAAAGCACCAGGAGTGGTGGTCCAAACAAAAAACCAAAGCAAAACAAAATTAAAAACAACCTCCATACCCCCACAAAACTCAAAACAAAAAGTACCCAAGAAACCAAGAAAATGTAAGGGTGATAGCATAATCATGATGTAATCTTGGCTTCCTTCAGCACACATTTTCTCTTGGGTTGGCCTCCATTCCATGCTTTCAGCTGTCTTCAGCACATGTACTATGGTTCTGGCACCTCCAGTATCCTGGGGTTTCCATTGCAACCTAGGCCTCACCTTTATAGCTTCACACACGGCTCAGGGTCTCCTTACAGGCACTCCGTTCTTAGACATATCGCCAACCTCAGCTGCTTTCAGAAAACATGGAACACAGGACTCTGTGACTTCTTTACTCTTGTACTCCATGCTTGCAAAATGAGTATGAAAAGAAGGCATTGTCCAGACCTGCCACCAGCTCAAGATGCAGCCTGGCCTCGTTGGGATGCAGCTGTATCAGCTTTTGTGAACAGACCCTGAGGAAACTCTCCTAAGTAGTTGCTTTGAGGAGTAGGAATTCCCTTAAGTTTAGATTTTCTTTGTTTAAATGAATTTTGATTTTCACGTGATAGCCGCCAATGGATTTTTCCCGTAGGACACCTATGTTAGTGTCCTGTTGTAGCACAATTTTCTTTTTTCTTTTTTTTTTTGTAGCACAATTTTCAATGCTAGATACAATTCTGTCTTCAAATTGTTACTGTCAAATTAGTTTATTGTCTTTAAATTCAGCTTTGCTCAGGTACTCAGGACACAGGCAGAGTGAAGCCAGATTCATGATCAAAATGTGATATAAATGACTTCTATCCCAGTTCCTGATAGTCATCGCTCTCTGAAAACTCATGATCTGAGTCCTCACTGTTAGCATTCTGTCTAAACTCCACCCCCACAGTTTCCTGGCAGCAGCCAGGTAGGCCTGCCCACTATAAAAGGGGCTGCTTGCCCCCCTCCTCCTTCTCTTACTCTCTTACTCTCTTGCTCTCTTGCCCCTAGCTTCCCTCTGTCCCTCTCGCCCCTCCCACTTCCCTTCCTCCTCTCTCCACTTGGTCATGGCCGGCCTCTACTCCTCTGTGCCGGCGAGCTAGCGCGCGCTCTCTGTCTTTCTCTCTCTGTCTCTCTCTCTCCGTCTCTCTCTCTCTCTCTCTGTCTCTCTCTGCCTCTCTCTTTGTCTCTCTCTCTCTGCCTTTCTCTCTCTCTCTGCCTTCCTCTCTCTCTCTCTCTCTCTCTCTCTCTCTCTCTCTCTCTCTCTCTCTCTCTCTGTCTCTCTCTCTCTCTCTCTGCCTCTCCCCTCTCTGCCTCTCTCTGCCTTTACTACCCTCCTGGCTCCCCTCCCCATGCCCTGAATAAACTCTATTCTATGCTATACCGGCATGGGCCAGCTGAGACGTCCCCTTCCCCCATACCTCTCCACACACCCACAGGACATACTCTTTATCTCTTTAACTTTTTATAAACACAACACTCACTGTTGATGCTTTTCTCAGCATTCTTGTCTTACAGGCTCCCATTAGAATGAATAGTCCACTAAGTTCTGTTTGCAGCACTTCAGGGCTTTTCTAACCCAAAGTTCCAAACACTTCCACATTTCTCTCCCCAAACCAGTTTCAAAGGTCTAAGAACCACATGGACAGACTTATCATAGCAGTGGCCTTGTTTCTTAGCACCAGGTTCTGTCTTAAGTTGCTTTTATGTTGTGATAAAGTGCTACCGACAAAAGCAGCTTGAGGGAGAAAGTGTTTATTTTGTCTTGTGTTCTGAAGTCATGCAGTCCATCGTGGCATAGAAGATATCCTAGCAGATAGGGGAGGCATGGTGGCAGGAGCAGGAAATTGTTGTTTATAGTCTTCTACACTCAGGAAGCAAAGTGTGACTAGGAAGTAGGGTAGGCTGTAAAGCCTCAAGACCTTCCCCACAGCCCACTTCTTGCAATGAGACTCTTAACTACTGAAGGTTCTACAGCCTCCCAGACAAGGCGAGCAGCCGGGAGACAAGGCTTCAGACATGTGTGTGTGCAGCACAGTCACCTTCAGACCACATCCCTTCCTTGGGGTCTGAACACATCCCTACCTGGGGTTTCTTTACTTTTATGATCTTTACTGTACCTGATGATCTGAAGGACCTAGTACTGCACCCATGCTTTCTAAGGGTGATGTTGTCTATGTTCCTTAATCTGTTGTTTGTTTGAGACAGGGTCTTACTTTGTAGCCTTGGCTGGCCTGGAACTTACTGTGTAGACTGGCCCTGAACTCACAGACATCTGCCTGCCTCTGCCTTCCAACTGCTGCCTTCACTCTCTTTTAATTATTTTTCCTGAAGTCTCATTTTCTGACTTTTTTTTGTTTTCATGGCTTGTAGTAGCAGTGGGAATACTGATAGTTTTTGTGTTTTTTTTTTTTTGATATGTTGTTCTAATGATTACCTGTATAGTATGTCTTAGTTAGGGTTTCTATGGCTGTGAAGAGACCGTGGCCAAGGCAACTCTTATAAAGAAAAACATTTAATTGGGGCTGGCTTACAGTTCAGAGGTTTGTTTAGTCCACTGTTGTCATGGCAGGAAGCATGGTAGCATGTATGCAGGCTTGGTGCGGAGAAGGGGCTGAGAATTCTACTTCCGGCTCAACGGGCAGCAAGTGTAAAGACCCAGAAAGAGGACCCCCAACTCAAGTCCCGATCAGCGCGCACCCAAGGAGACACGAGAGACTGACTTGATGCAATGGCAAAAGGCAGTTTACTAACAAGGGCCCTTGGATCGAAACTCATCCCACGCAGGGGACAGAATTTCGATGAAGACCCCAGGAAGTTTAGAACTTTTATAGGGGGAGGTACAAGGGGGAAGGGAAAAGCAGGAAATTCTGGCACGGTTACATACGATTGGATATTTCAAACATCAGCACTTTGCGTAAGCAATCATTTTGACAGGCTGGATGGCCCATATTTTTGACCATGAAGCCTCAGACCTTCTAGGACAAACACCAGGTGGCCCATTACTCACTTGGGCATGTTTAGACTGGTCAAGATATGTCTTTGGTTGTTTCTACATTTCTGGTCACCTCGTCCCTAGAGGGGCTTGATATTTTTATTATGGCTATTCTCAGCAAGCTCAGCAAGCCGTCCTGCGGTCTTTGCCAAGTTGTTTGTGGTCTCTGCTGAGCTGTTTTAATTTTTACCCTTACACAAGCAGTGAGCAACCATTAAGCCTGGCTTGAGCTTTTGAGACCTTAAAGCCTACCACCTAGTGACACACTTCCTCCAACAAAGCCACACCTCCCAGTAGTGCTCTGGACCAAACACAGACACCGGAGTCTCTGTGGCTAGTCTTATTCAAACTACCACAGCACTCTTTTCATCATTTCCTTTATTGTCTCTTCTTGTTTTGGCTACTGTCTGGGTTTTCAGTTTTGACGAGTGTTATCTGGCCTTTGCTGTCAGTCTGTGCCGTAGTTGATCATTACTTTTACGTTTTTATTTATTAATAGCATAGTGTCTGCATTATGAGAAGATAGGAGTGGAGGAGACGTGGATCGGGGGAGAGGGGAGGTGTGTGTGGGGGGGACTGGGAGGAGTGGAAACTGGTTGGGATGTATTGAAAGCAAAAAGAAGAAAGAACATATATTGATCTATATGTTTATATGTGTATTGCCTTCTACTTCAGTAGACTACCTTTGGTTTTTGATTTTTTTTTAACTTTTGTAAGCTGATTTTAGGATATCTAACTTTCCTTTCATTCTTTTTCTTCCCTTCCCCTGCCTCTCTCTCCTTCTTTCCTTCTTTCTTTCTCTGTGTAGCCTTAGCTGCCCTGGAACTCACTCTGTAGACCAAGCTAGCCTTGAACTCACAGAGATCCACCCGCCTCTGCCTCTCAGTTGCCAGGATTAAAGGCATATACCACTACTACCCAGCTTAACTTTCATTTTTGAGGGTCAGTTATTATGTCTGTCAATCTGAACATTTTAGGAAATTTTCTTTTATTTGCTTAGCATTTTAGGATGAGTTTCTAATTGTTCAGGCCATTTTCTTAGAGAATGTTAGACATTTTATGATTTCTCATCCCTCTCCCCACCTCAAAATTTTCTTGGGCTACAGTTTAATATTTTGTTTTGTTCTTCAGGATATATATATACGTGTGTGTGTGTGTGTGTGTATATATAATTTTTTTTTTGCCTGTATTCTCTTTCATCATCTTTATCCTAGCAATTTTTTTTTATTGCTTTTTCTGTTTTTCTTTTGGTTATCTTGATTATTGTTTTTGTTTTTTGTTTTCCTTTTTTTAGTGCTACTTATTCAGTTTTGTTGTTGCTTTAAGATGGTCTTTCCACAGAGCTCTAGCTCTTGTGTAACTTCTTTGTAGACCAGGCTGGCTTCAAACTCCTAGAGAGCTGCCTGCTCTGCCTCTCAGGTGCTGCTTACTAAGTTTTGAGGTGGAGTGGCCTTGGTATATTAGATTTTTAAAATTGATTTTGTAGAATTCTTTTACTTTTTCTTTCGCTAACCAACCAGTGGCCAAAGAATGATTTACAATAAATGAATATATTGGGTTTAAACACTTACTGGATCAAGTGTCTCTGATCTTAGGTGGACGTCTACTAGTATTTTGGATAGTATTGGCCAGTTTTTATGTGTTTCTATGAACATGATAGTTAATCATGTCAGTATATTATACATTTTTATTTTATGGTTTAGTTGGTTCTAGATCTTGCATGCTTTTTCTTAACTGAGAAAAGGACCTTCCTACGTCTTATGTATACCAGTATTAACCATCACTGATAATTCACAGGCTTCTACTAACCAAAAGGAAATATAGAAGAAATAGAAAAATTATTAATTTTAATGTCATCCACTCTGGTCTTATTTCTTACTTACAACAGGAAACAAAAGAGGAGAATGGATTGCAGAAAACGAAGACAAAACTGTCAAACAGATCAAAGTGTTTGGCTAAAAGAAAAATTGCACGTAAGTTTTCATTTTTTTAATTGAATTGATGCAGTGTTTTCATTAGGAGAAGAGAATTCTCTAGGAGTATATATGCTTCCTCTTTGTTCTGAATCTTTAAACTTTTGAAAATTTCTTTTTTTTTTTTCTTCGAGACAGGGTTTCTCTGTGTAGCCCTGGCTGTTCTGGAACTCACTCTGTAGACCAGGCTGGCCTCGAACTCAAAAATCTGCCTGCCTCTGCCTCCCAAGTGCTGGGATTAAAGGCATGCGCCACCACCGCCTGGCAACTTTTGAAAATTTCTTAGAGAGTTATTTTAAGCCTCCCTAGAGGAAGACTATTGAAATTGTCAATGCGATCCTCGTGTCGAGGCACCCTTACTAGAGCTCTTGATTCTCTGCTTACCTCTTAACCTTTGTATTCTGTGTGTGAGTGCTTGCTTGTATGTGCCTGTTAGGGCTCCTGGAACTGAAGGCACGAATGATTTTGAGCTGCTGTGTAAGTGTTAGGAACCGAACCAAGGTGCTCAGAGCAGCAAGTGCTCTTGAGCACTGACCCGTTTGCTTAGCCCCCTTTTCTTTTTCTTTACTGTGTAGATCTTAGACAGATTGCAGTTTTTAGCTGATTGCTGTTTTTCAGTTAAAAGCATGATGGAAGATGATTTACTCTTTTATGCTGAGAAAAAAATTTAAGTTTAATATGGACTGGTCAAAATTAGTGTTAGCTTAGATGAGCAATTCCACCATGGATGATGGTATTGTAACTTATTGCAAAGATGAAATCCACAGTGGTAGGGCTTTGTCAAGACTCACCTTAAATCCGTGCCTGTCACTGTCAGAGTTTAAATCATATATCTCCAGCCACATAATGAGTGGCTCACATTGGCTCCACTACATATCTGGATACATTTCCCTGCCTTGAACCACAGCAAGTTCTGTTCTTTGATTAGAGAGTTAGGTGTGCAGCAGGGTGGCTGAGATATAGTAATGATGCTAAAATAATTTTCTGAACTTTTCGGTGGAACTGACTTGTTTTTTGCCTTATGTATGGAACTCTATGTTTCTGGGGCCAGAAGCTTAGGCTTTTGGTTGATCTCTCTAAATGTATTGGATAGTTCTTGGCAAGGGCATCCTTAAGTAGTCGCACTGATATATAATTTAGATTACTAATTCCTGGTAAAATTATATCTTTGGGAAACTCATTTGAAAAGGAAACGTCTGAGCCATTTTTCAGTCCTGAAATTTGTTTCTAAAAATAAAAGTGATGACAAAAACTACATTCTTCAAATTAAAGAGCTGAAGACTGGCTTCCATGAGAAGTTCTCTTGATTCAGACTTGAAAAGGAGCTGATATTGTGTGAGCGAAGAGTTGCAATTAAAAGTCATAGAACTGCAAGGGAATACCGTACAAAGAACCAAGTAAAACAGCCCTGGAAACCCAGGATTCTAGACAGATTCTCACCTGTTACGGTACAGGTTAGGCTGGGACCAACCATCTTTTTGTCCTAGCCTCTTGTGTACTCTACAGATATTTTGGGAATGATCATCTGATCCTGTCCATGTTTGGAAGTTTACATTTGTGAGCAGCTATTCTGTTGTGAAACTAAGTAAGACTATTATTGGTCCTAATTAAAGGACTTAAAGCCTCTGGATATATACCTCTGAATACATACCTCTGGATATATATGTATACCTCTGGATATATACCTCTGGATGGATATATATATATATGTATATATATATTCTATAGGTATATATACACATGCCTCTGGATATATATATCCAGAGGTATATATCCAGAGGTATATATATATATATCCAGAGGTATGTATCCAGAGGGGGGTGTGTGTGTGTATATATATATATATATATACACACACCCATATATATATATCTCCAGAGGTGTGTGTGTGTGTGTGTGTGTATATATATGGATATATACCTCTGGGTATATACCTCTGGAGATATATATATATATATATATATATATATATATATATACACACACATACATACATACATATACACACTCACACACACACACACACACACACATACCTCTGGATATATACCTCTGGACATAAGAAACAGATGTCAGTTTCAACTCTAAGGAGTGATAAATGATGAAAATCCAGTCATTCCTAGTTTTAAGTTGCAGTTTTCATTACTGTATTTGGAGTACAGTACTGGGCTTGTGGTATGAAGTTGAACAGTCCTCTGAGGGGGGAGTGAGATGATTATAGGAAAGATGATAATAGGAAAGAAGACTTGTAACTTTAATGTTTTCAAAAACTATTTTTAATGATGTTTCTTAAATGCTTTAACTTCCCTTGTAGCCCACCACTCACCAAAGGTAGTGGAAAAGAAAGGATATAGGGGGAGGAGGAGGGGTGGTTAAGTGCACCTGTTTAGAAAGGTTCTTTGGAGCAACTCCTGTCTGTGTTGTCTGGAAATCCACAGTTTTATAGTTTAGCCGGAAGTGGCAGTTTGATCCACCTGCAAACACTTTATGAATCCACCAGCAGTCCAGTTCGGTAGAGTAGGGTTGGCAAACAGGGATCAGCAGTGGTAGTGTGACCTAGCAGAGACAGCCAGACCTCAGCCTCCGCTCAAGTCAGCAGGAGGGACCAACAGGAACACCAGGAGAAGTTCTCAGCTGTGCCTCTCTCAGGGAAGCGAAGATCAGTGAAGACTTCTCAGTAAAGACCCACAGCATTGCACAGCTAGCTGTACCAGCAAGCCAAGCTCTGTCTCCATTATTCCTATTTATATCCTCCAAACATCATGTGTCCTCCACGTGCCTTGCCTCAGCACAAATGGAGCTCAAATATGCAATGTAATGCAGACTAATACGTATTCGTTGTTAGCAAAGAATCCTTCATCACGTGCCCTTTCACTTGTTTGCTTTAGCAGAACATCCCCTCTCCTGTGTCAGCTTCAGCAAAACGTTCCTTCATGAGTCTGCCTTAGTCTTTGACCTGTGTCCACTTCAGGAAAACATTCCTTCTTGTGTCTGCTCCAGCAAAACACCATCTAACACAACTAAACTCTACAAAGAACCCTTACGTTTCCACTTCAAAGACTCAGACAAAAGTTAGACATTGGGAGGGCTGCAGGTTAATACCATACCAGCCTTGAATTTACTTTTATTAACTTTTTTATACTTTACAGTGCTGTTGGAAACAAAATCACAAGTTAGCAGAGGTGATGGCTGACATGCACACAGGATATCTGTTCCTCTCTGGAGGCCTCCCTGATTCTCCCACCAAGATTAATAGGACGTTTAGCCCCTTGCCTTGAGCCTCAAGTGTATCCTCTCTTATTGTTCCATGAGTCAGCAGACCAGGAAATCTGCCAGCAGACCCTGACCTGCCTTGACTGCCTGACAGGCGAGGCTTTCACAGAAGCAGACGAAGTGGCTTCCAACATTGGAGCACAATCTCTGCCATTGTATAAGCTTGTTATTATACCTTATACCATTGTCTTACTTAGGTTTCTATTGTTGTGATAAACACCAGGACCAAAAGCATCTTTGAGATAAGAAAGGTTTATTTGGCTTGCACTTACATATCACAGTCCAACATTGAAGGAAGTTAGATCAGAGACTCAAGCAGGAACTTGGAAGCCAGCACTGGAAGCAGACTATGGAGGAATGCTGCTTACTGTCTTTCGCCCCATGGCTTCCTCATTTTGTTGCTTTATGCTGGACTGCCTATCTAAGACTGGTACCACCTACAGTGGGCCAGGCCCTCTCACATCAATCATTAATCAAGAAGATGCCTCATAGACTTGCTTATAAACTAATCTGATAGAGGAGTTGACTCAGTTGAAGTTTTCTCTTCCAGATAACTCGTGGTTGTGTCAAATTGACAAAGAACAAGCACAACCATATAAAATGAATTATACTTCAAAATACAATAAAAAACAGAAAAGAGAACTAAGTTGTATGTAAGGGAAAGAAAGAGCATGAAAAAACATATGCCAAAAAAATAGACAACTTGAACTTTATGGATAAATTCTTAGGAAGACACAAACCAAAACTGAGTCAAGAAGTAGAAAATTAAAATAAAATATGCTGGGCGGTGGTGGCGCACGCCTTTAATCCCAGCACTTGGGAGGCAGAGGCAGGTGGATTTCTGAGTTTGAGGCCAGCCTGGTCTACAGAGTGAGTTCCAGGAGAGCCAGGGCTACACAGAGAAACCCTATCTGGAAAAGCAAACAAACAAACAAACAAAAAACAAAACAAAAAACAAAAAAACCCAATGAATATAATAAAAAATTGAATTAACAAGAAACAGCTATAACAGAAAGTAGCTATAAACAAAAAGATAGCTTCGTGGGTCATGTTTGTCAAAGAGAGAGGAATATTAGTAGTAGTTCTTCATAAGCTCTTACAGATGCTAGATGATGAGGGAATACTACCCAACTTATTTCTTAAGTATGATACCAGGTCCAAGGGAGATACCATAAGAAAAGTAAAGCACGTCGATGAAGGTAGAGGCACAGGTGAGCCAGCACCAAGAGTGTGAGAGCTCTCTAGCCCTCACAGGCTGCAGCATTTGGGAGAGGGGGCCTGTGCCTTGACTGGGCAGCACAGTGGTGCTGGCTCTGGAGGCATGGATGCGAGCAACCCTGAGAGCAGGAGAGCAGGAGAGCAGGAGAGCAGAACAGGAGAGCAGGAGAGCAGAGCAGGAGAGCAGGAGAGGAGAGCTGCCCCTGCCTCCTGCCAGTCGTGGGATTGGGTGCTTAGTAGGAGCAGTGCTGGAGAGCTTGCCCTGGTGGTGTGGATAAGGGAGAGCCCGGCAGGGTGACCAGCTTAGCCACCACATAGACCGATAACCTGGACTCTGAGTTGTCCCACCCCAAAATCTGTATCATATGTGAATGGTTGGAACTCATGAAAGGGCCTGCTGATCCAAAGCGGCAGGACCTCCATGACACAGGCAGCAGGATAACGGGGGTGTGGGGTGTGGGGTGGGGGTGGGGGGTGGGGGGGTCATGGTGAGGATTCAATATTGATGCTGTCACCGAAGCCAGAGACCTCAAAACAGACCAATGACTCATTGCAGTGAACATTTGTCAGTGAAGATGTGTGGACAGAGGGATACACCATGGACCACACTATAACATACTACAGCTTCCATGATGACATGGTTTCTGTGCTTGTTTGTTTTTTATTTTGGGGGAGAGGTTGCAAGAGTGAAGGGCAGATATGAGGGGATGGTAGGATGAGTGGGCCAAGGGTGCACGATGTGAGTGAAACGCAAAAAGAATCAATAAGAAGGAAAACAAATGGCAGATGTAAAAATACCATCGTTGCTTGAAATTGAATCCAAGGCTTCATGCAAGTAAGCACTCTACCAAGCTACGTCTTTTATCTTTTTTACATACTAGCATTATATACCCACAAATCTGGCTGTAAAAATTGCTAACCTTATCTTTACCATATTGAGTTTTGAAAAATACATATCTTCATTTTCATTCATTTCAGAGTTTTTTTTCTCTTGTTTTCTTTCTTTTTTTTTTAATTTTCTTTTCTGTTTTGGTTTTGTTTTTTTGTTTTTTGTTTTTTTTTGTTTTTTGAGGGTATTCCTATTTGTAGACCAAGCTGGGCTTGAAGTCAAAGATACCCACCTGCCTCTGTGTCTGCCTCTCAAGTGCTGGGATTAAAGGCATGAACTATCAAGCCTGGCCAGTCTCAGAATTTCTTAATAGTTCTCTAGTGTTCTTTGTTTATTTGTGGCATCCTGAATATGTTCAGAGATCCACTGTCCAATGTCTTATTTCTGGAGGATATTATTATTAGTTTTTGTTACTACTTTTTCACATTTTACTTCAGATTTTAGGTCTTCATATTAAAGATTTTCCTTCAATATCTGGTAGATTGTCTTTTTTTTTTTGGTTTTTCGAGACAGGGTTTCTCTGTGTAGCCCTGGCTGTCCTGGAACTCTGTAGACCAGGCTGGCCTCGAACTCAGAAATCAGCCTGCCTCTGCCTCCCAAGTGCTGGGATTAAAGGCGTGCACCACCACCGCCCGGCTTGGTAGATTGTCTTGATTGCTTAGATTTAAAAGGAGTAGTTCTAAGAACTGATTTGAAACTATATATGTGTGTGTGTGTGTGTGTGTGTGTGTGTGTGTGTGTATATACACACATACATACATATACATATACATATATATACACATACACATACACATATACATATATATATATATGGACACCTGTGTATGTATGCATCTTTGACTGTCTGCCCTTATGTGCCTATGGGGGCAAATAGACCATTGACATGCTAAAATCATCTTTGGAGATAAATTTTATGGCAATTTCACACATGTATATAATGCATTCTGATTGTGTTCACTCCTTCTCTTATCCCCGACTCACATCAATTCTGCTTCCTCTATAAATTCCTCTCCCACTTTCACGTCTTTTGTTTTTTATTTTGTTTTGTGACTATATTATTTAGGATTCTCTGTGTGTGTGTGTGTGTGTGTGCGTGTGTATCTATATGTATACATGTATAAGATTTACTAGAGTGGCTTATGGCTGTGATCCAACTAGTCTAACAGTGTCTCCAATGGAGAAAGTCGAAGAATCCAATCGTTTGTCCACGAGGCTGGATGTCTCAGCTAATCTTTAGTACACATCAGAATCCCCAAGAAGGCTCTAACACCCGCCTCAACAGCAGGTTATCGGAACTTGGCATGAGAATGAGGGCAGGCAGGCAGAAGGCAAAAGCTGCTTTCTTCCATCTCTTTTATGTAGGCTGCCATGAGAGGGTGTGGCCCAGATTTAGGCAGGGTCTTCTGACCCCAAATGATCTGGATGTAAGATGTGTCTTCCTTCCTCAAATGATTCAGTTAACTAAAGATCACTCACAGCTATTCCTAGCTGTTTGGGTTTTAACTCAATTTCAGATGTAGTCAAGTTGACAACCAAGAATAACCATCACAGAGACATACTGATTTTAACTGGGGCTGTCCTTGTAAGGATGGGTGTAGAGCTCTCCACTGGAACATGAGATGATTACACTGCTGAAGACATAACTCATCCAATTTTATGTCATTTTTCCTGGCTTCAAACTCACAGAGATCTGCCTGCCTCTGCCTCCAGAGTGTTGGGATTATAAAGATGTGTGCCTCCAACACCTGACATGCTACTAATGATGTTGACCACACCTTACCTTATATGACTTTCCTAATTAGAGTACAAATCATACTATATGGTTTATAGCATTATCAGTTGACAGTTTAATGATTCTGCTTTTTGCCTTCATGCTAATTTGCTGTTTTGTGGTATTCTTCCCTTCCCTATACTCTTACAGAGATGTCAGAAGAAGAACAGTTTGCTTTGGCTCTCAAAATGAGTGAGCAGGAAGCTAGGGAGGTGAACAACCAGGAGGAGAAGGAAGAGGAGCTCTTGAGGAAAGCCATTGCTGAAAGCCTGAATGTAAATATACTGTGTTGAAAGTTTGTGGGATTTATTAATAATGTTCTCAGTTACTTAGTGGTTGGTATACTTGCATGAGAAATAAGCTTTGATAGTTTATAGAGTTTTCAGTTAATAAAAATATCTCAGTACTTTTTTAAGTCCATGTTGCTGATTAATCTGGCCGAAGTGTTTTTATTACCACATGAGTTTGATTCTGCTCCACAGGTTTTTCAGTTAATGGCTTAAAAGAATCATAGAGACGGGCAGCTTCTAAAGGGTTGTAGAATACTAAGAATTCCAAAAGCTTCAGGGTCAGATGTTCACTTCCCTCATTTGTGGGGACAGCAAAGAAAATGAGAAAAAGAATGGGCAGTTTAAAAATAATCAAATAGCTAGGTGGTGGTTATACATGCCTTTAATCCCAGGACTCAGAAGGCAGAGGCAGTTGGATCTCTGAGTTTGAGGCCAGCCTGGTCTAAGAACAAGTTCCAGAGCAGCCAGGGCTATACAGAGAAGCCATGTCTCAAAAACCAAAAACCAAAACCAAACCAAAACAATAACAACAAACAAAAACAAACAGAAAAACCCAAATAATATTAAATTGTGACACAGATATATTCAATAGAAATTAATCTAAACAATAAGGATGCTTGCCAGTGGTAGATTCTGAGCAATCCTTGATTCTGTTTGCTTGTTAGCTTGTTGGTTTGAGCTAGAGCCTTCTAGATTTGAAAGGGCTGGCTTTCAGCTTGGAAATTCAAGCAGTCTCCCACTTTAGCCTTCTGAAAAGCTTAGGACTAGAGGCATATATCACCATGTGAATATATATCTCTAATCTGAACCATTCTGTATACGATATACCCTCCATATTAGGAACAGTATAGTAAATATATATAGGTATTCACTTTACACTGGGGAATCCATTTGACTCGAGCAGCTATATCTGAAGAGGAGAAAATCCTAGGGACAGTGGCCTCCTATTTTTCTCCTTCCTGTGACTCTTCATATGCAGCTACTTTAATAATGAACCTGCTCTGGTGCGGGATCACTTGTTTCAGAGTTGCTGGTCTTCTGATGCTTCTGCGACCAGATCTCCACCTCTGGCTACTGGACTGTCTTCACATTCCCACCAAGAGAACAGCAAAGATTCTGGAACCACTGAAGGCATGTCTTCCTGTTCTGACTCCTACACAACAAGTATAATCTATTACTTCTGCTGAGAGTAGATACAGAGAGATGCCCCAAATTCTTGTTTTGATATTAAAGAGATTCAAACAGAAATAGTTGAAATTTCATTAATATTCAACAAACATACTTTTATCTCCAAGGAAAAAAACACCCTTTGGCTAAAGCCAAAGAATGGCTTTTCATAACCACATTTTGTAATTCTTGATAAGTGATAGCTTACCAAGCTGTCTTAATTTAAAAAAAAAAATTTTGTCCTTAGCCCTACTTTTTCTCAAATACCTACAGGCATATGGCAGCTGGTACCTCCATCACTGTGTAAAGGCTCACATATCAGTCAGGGAAACGAGGCTGAGGGAAGAAAGGAGCCCTGGGACCACAATGAAAACACTGAAGAGGAGCCGGTCTCTGGCAGCTCAGGAAGCTGGGACCAGTCAAGCCAGCCAGTGTTTGAGAATGAGAACGTTAAATGTTTTGACAGATGTACTGGCCACTTGGCTGAGCACACAGAGTGTGGGAAGCCACAGGAAAGTACTGGGAATGGTTATGCTTTTTCCAAAGCTGTCCAGGGTAGGGGGGACACGTCTAGGCAATGCCTTCCTATCCCAGCAGACACCAAAGGTCTCCAGGACGTTGGGGGCACTGTGCACTACTACTGGGGTATTCCATTCTGCCCTGCTGGAGTAGATCCTAATCAATACACCAATGTCATTCTCTGCCAGTTGGAGGTTTATCAGAAGAGCCTGAAAATGGCTCAGAGGCAGCTTGTTAAAAAAAGAGAGTTTGGGGAACCAGTGTTACCTAGACCTCCTTTTCTGATCCAGAATGAATGTGGCCAAGAAGATCAGACTAGTGAAAAAAATGAAGGCATCTCAGAAGATACGGGAGACGAAGCCAAAGAGGAAAGGCAGGAGTCTAGGGCATCTGTCTGGCACTCAGAAACCAAGGAGTTTCAAAAAAGTTCAATTAAAAGCTTGAAACAGAAACTTTTGTTGGAGGAAGAACCAACAACCAGTCATGGTCAGGTAAGGGTCAGTGGTGTTGTAATTAAGGATCATTTATTTACAGATAAAATAAGAATTATTTTAACTATTTTTTGTGGTCTTTTCTTCTATCTGCTTATTAAAATAATACATGGTTATATAAAATAAGAATTAAAAAAAAAAGAAAGAAAGAACCTTGGTGTGGTAGTATAGGATCTATAATCCTAGCACTAGGAGGGTGAGCAGTCTGGCCAGCCTAGGCTACATTGTGTGATCTTGTCTCCAAAAAAAAAAAAAATTTACAATAGTTATATGCTATCCAATCACCAAAAGGCAGTCATCATCATTTCTATACATATAAAACACATTTTTATTTTAAATTTTAAGCAAAATGGAAATTCTTCTGCACAAACTTTGTTCATTTCTTTCACTTTATAATTTACCAGAAATCTTTCTCTACTTATCTGATATACATCAAGACATTATTCCATCTTGCTAGTGTATACCATATTTTCTTTTCCAAACTTTTTATTTTTAAATTGTTTTTCTACAGATGATATTTTAAAATATTCAAGGAAATGCAAATTAAAAATATATATATTTATCTTTCAGCTACACCTTCTAGCCAGACATTTCCCTTCTTTGGATTCAATTCATGCTGCTAATTTTTAGTGTATCCTTCCATGATATTTTATGTAATATAATATAATATATATATGTATGTATTGTGTATATATATATATACATATATATATACCTTTTCCCATTTTTTTTGACAAGTGTCAATGTGAAAAGCACAGCTTTTATCTCTTATTTATTCTGCAGCCAAATATGAATTGCTATAAGCTGGGAACACAGATTTAGGTTACCCAAAATTACATGTTCCAGCAAGGTATCAGTTTTATGAATGTTTTATAGTAACTGAACAAAGAAAGTTATAAATAATAACACTTTTTAAGGTGTCTGGAGAGATGGCTCAGTGGTTAAGACCATTTGCTGCTTTTCCAGAGGACCAGGGTGTGATTCCCAATTCACACCTCTCTGTAGCTCTAGCTTCATCTAGGAGATTAAACCCCTCCGTCTTCTGAGGACACCAGCACTCAGTGTACATATATCCTCATGTAGACACATACCTTTACACAATTAAAAATAATAATATATTTAAAAAGAAAACATTTTTCAAGTAACATTGGTGGGAACATCAGGCAGATTGCAGTAAAAATGAGGAAATGTCTGTATAGGCCTGAGATACTGTCTGTTGGCATTCTTAGCTTTTGGGTTGGTGGAAGCTAGGGATCTGCTCCTATATTCCATTACCTAATAGTCAAAAGAGTGTTTATTCACACACACTGGTGACCAATAAATGGCTTCTTTGAGGCTAAGAAAATTTGGTTCCAGACATGCACCGTTAGAGTCTTTCCACAGTCATTGAGGTTCTAATCAGTTAAACAGCCTTGGAGAGTGTTCAGTGTAGATGGAGCTTATTTTCTGGGAACTTCGGTTCCTATAGGTTCTCATATACCTCAGGCTTGCGTCAGACTTGTTAAGTAGCAAGGACGACCTTGAACTTGTGATCCTCCTGCTTCCATCTCCAGAGTACTGGGGCTACAGGCAAGTATTTTTATTCTGTGCTTTATATAGTGCAGGGGATGGCATCCAAGACTTCATGCATGCTAGATAAGCAATGCTAGCTGAGGTACATCTGAGGCTCTCTGCCTTTCATTTATACAAATGATAGCTTACTATATACATTATTTTGTTCTTTTTTATTTAGTAATTCTGAGATCATTCTATAACAATACTCAGTTTAATGCACACACACACACACGCACACACACACACCCTGTGCTTTATTTGGAGATATGCGATATACTGGTATTAGATAAACCATAACTTGTTCAGTAGCTGACTGGTGAGCATGTAAGTTGTCTCTAATATTTTTCTGTATTAGTACCTTGAACAGAGGGCATTTTATCTACATGGGAGATAGTCATAGGATAATTTCTTACAGATAATGGTGATGGATCAGAGGCTGCTTATATTTACAGTTTTGTTAACTATTACCAAATTGCCATCTATAGAAAATAATATATTTGCATTCCCATCAGAGGTATATGAATGCTAGCTCCTCAAACCTGCACCAGCATGATATTCAGACTGACTGATATTTCCTGATATAAAGATGAAAAAATCTCTATATAGTGTTTTAGTCTTCCTTCCTTCCTTCCTTCCTTCCTTCCTTCCTTCCTTCCTTCCTTCCTTCCTTCCTTCCTC